GGGGGCCCTGGCGGGCGCGGGAGCCCCAAACCAACCGAGTGTCCTTTAGTGGCGGCCGGAGGTGGGCGCGTGGGTCTCCCAGCCTTCCTCCTCCCCGTGCCTGTCTTGGAGGGGTCTCCCTGCTGGCGGCGGCGCGCGCGGAGCGGTCGGGAAGCCCTGCGCCCGTTGCATTCCAGCCCAGGGCTGCAGGAGTGCCCGCTGCGCCCGCTCTCGTCCTGTGCAACGTGCACCCAAACCCTCCACTCTCACAGCCTTATTCCAACCGGGGATGAGATGGAAACGGGTTTTAACAGACTTTGCCGCCCAGGGGATGCCCCAGGGCGGGCTTCCCTTCTGCCAGGCAGAGGGCACGGCCCTAAGGTGTGTGGGGTGGGGTAGAACGGAGATGGCTGTGGGCTGCAGTCACCTGGCCAGGTGGCCGGGAGGGGAGGACTTAGCAAAGGCTGGAAAGTTGCCCTCACTGGGGGGCCTGGGGGTTAGCAAAGCGTGGGATGCGGAACCCCACGGAACAGGCCCAGCCGCTCGGGCTGCGACATGCGGAATGTGTCCCCAAGTGGCAGGACGCGCGCGGGAACCCAGGAACCCAGAAGGACCATCTCTAGGTTCCGCGCAGGTTCCGAGCCCGCTGGGTGTCCGCGCGATGGTGGCACGCGGCTCGGGGCTGGATACAGCCTCCAACGTGCCCGTGCGGTGCGCGAGATTAAACCGTCTGGCTGGCCAGGCCGGGGGGCTCCAAAGACCATCCTGTAGGCCCTGGAGCCATTAGGGTGTCTGACGCTCGGTGATGTGAAAGAAGCCTGCGGTTTAGGAAGCGGGGCCTCCCGGTGAGGTCCGTGCAGATCGCCCTTGGCGCAGAAGGCAAGTGGAGGCCGAAATCGGGCCTTAGCTTGGTGTGTGTCCAGGCCAGAAGATTGTTCTGACAAGAAGTAGCTCTTAGGATTACTAAAGTGAAAAGAGACAACGGAGCAGTTGGCCAGTTACAATTTTAAAATTTCCTGTATAATTTTTTTTTATGCGTTCAGCTTATGTATCACTTACTCTATATAGAAAGAACATCTGGATGTTGCTAAGCTTACACTAAGCTATCAACAGCCGTGTCGTTCTGCCTGTTGGCAGCTGTTCATCATCTTTATCTCCCTAGTTTTGACTGTAAACATTCCAATCCTCCCAGGATTAAACAGAAAAAAGTGTTTCAAATTGAAACACAGGTTTAGGAGCATGGAGGGAAAACAGTGAGGGAAAATGGTGTGTGTGACACCCGAGGGCTCCCACTTTGTTAGCAAAATGTCTCTGCATTTTTCTGATTCCAGAGAGGCTGATGAGTGTTTTTATCACATGCTTGCTGGCAGGATATTTCATTTATATTTGTATCCAGTACTAGTGAAACCATTCCAGAATAGAGTTTGTTACAGGAGTTCGACTTTTTTCTCTACTATATTTCCAATGGTGGTGTTCAACTTTTTTAAAAAGAAGGTTGCATCTTGTTTTGCGTTAGAAGTGTTTGCAGAAAGTTCTCTTGTCAGTGTGCTTTTATAATTGGGAAAAATTTTAAGAAATAGTTTATGGAAATGCACTTAATTTAAAGAAATCTTTACATTTGATAAGCAACTTTAGCATAGTGTTGGTTTATAATAGGAACCAGTGGAAACGTAAAGCATTTTCTTCTTATTTCAGAAGATTGTACATGCTTTTTAAAAATGATGAGTATACATAAGATCTAAAATGTGGAAAAAACGTTAAAGATACTCTGGGCAGCCTAATCATAGATGTCGGAATTTTTTTCTTTTTTTTTGAGACAGAGTCTCGCTTTGTTGCCCAGGCTAGAGTGAGTGCCGTGGCGTCAGCCTAGCTCACAGCAACCTCAAACTCCTGGGCTCGAGCGATCCTTCTGTCTCAGCCTCCCGAGTAGCTGGGACTACAGGCATGCGCCACCATGCCCGGCTAATTTTTTATATATATATCAGTTGGCCAATTAGTTTCTTTCTATTTATAGTAGAGACGGGGTCTCGCTCTTGCTCAGGCTGGTTTTGAACTCCTGACCTTGAGCAATCCGCCCGCCTCGGCCTCCCAGAGAGCTAGGATTACAGGTGTGAGCCACCGCGCCCGGCCGGAATTTTTTTCTCTTTGACTGTTTGCCTCAATATTTAATGTGGGTAGTAATTTTTCTTTATTGTTTATAAAGTCTAACATTGGTCACAAATGTGTATTTTATGATTTTTCTTTTTTTTTTTTTTAAAAAGAAAATCCTTTAAGAAATGTGTTTTAGATCAAAATAATGAGATTCTTGGTTTTTCTTTAAACCCTCTTCTCTATCTGAAATGCTCAATTCTCAGGGTTTTTTGTTTCTTTTTGTTTTCTGTTTTTAATGCTGCCTTAGATGCTGATGTCAGAATAAATGAACATTGACTCGTTACCAAAGCTGTTAAAAAGGCAGAGTCTATGACATTGCCACCAAAGCAGAGGCCCTTCCTGACTCTTTGAAGAATGAGAGACCTGGATCTTGTACAGATTTCATCCGTGAATATCCAAAAATCTAGTAATATTTGAATAGGAAAAAGTAGAGGAAAAAAAGAAAAAGAACTTCACGTTAACGCCCAGCATAACAGAATACAAGGCACATTGACACAGGACTTTGTATGCCACGCTCAGGTCCTGCTTTGGTGTGTGGTACCTTAGACATATTTTCACTTAACTTTCTGGGCTTCCATTTTATTTATTTATTTTTATTTTTTTGAGACAGAGTCTCGCTTTGTTGCCTAGGCTAGAGTGAGTGCCGTGGCATCAGCCTAGCTCACAGCAACCTCAAACTCCTGGGCTCAAGCGATCCTCCTGCCTCAGCCTCCCGAGTAACTGGGACTACAGGCATGCGCCACCATGCCCGGCTAATTTTTTCTATATATATTAGTTGGCCAATTAATTTCTTTCTATTTATAGTAGACACAGGGTCTCGCTTTTGCTCAGGCTGGTTTTGAACTCCTGACCTTGAGGGATCCACCCGCCTCAGCCTCCCAGAGTGCTAGGATTACAGGTGTGAGCCACTGCGCCTGGCCTGGTAATCAATCGGCTTTCTTCAGTTAAAATATCTATCCTTTTATTTCAGTAAAAATTCATCTCTAATTCCAAACCATACTCAGATTTCCCCAAGAAGACCCAGAAATGTCCTTTAGCTCATTTGCCTTAACGAATGTCCAATTCAGGACCATGCTGGGCATCTCTCCCCTTCTCCCTATTAAATAATGCTTTTTACCCTTAATGATTTTTAAAATTTCAAACCTACAGAAAAATATAATGAACACCTAATATATACACTTGACCTAATTCACCAGTTATGAATATTTTACCACATTCTCCTTCTCCTTCTTCTCTTTGAACTATTTGAAAGTTACTTGCAGACAGTCCTTTTGTGTTTTGTTTGATTTTTGTCCTTCGTGACATTGACATTTGAGGCCAGGCTAGTTGTTTTGTAGAACATCCTTCATTGTGGATTTGTGTGATCGTTCCCCTCATGATTAAATTCTGTTAAACATTTTTGTCAGAAATAGTATTTAGATGATGTATTGTCTTTCTCAGGGTCTCATGTCAGGAAACACGATGACATTTGTCCCATTACTGAGCATGTTAACTTTGATCACTTGGCTTAGGTAGTACTTGCCAGATTTCTTCATTGTCAAGGTACTTTTTTTGGGAAATTAAGTAATCCGAAAAGTTTCCTGATAACTGTTCATCTAGTGGTTTTAGTGTTCGTGATCCTTGACTGAATGAGCTATTACAGTGGTGGTGTTCATTCGTAAATTGTGATTTTTTTCAATCTAAAATTCTAGAGAGAATGACTTTTTAACGATCAAAGTGGAAATTATGTTTATTGACATTTTTTTCATAAAGAAGTACTCCTCGATCACCTGTTTTTTAGTATCACTCTCAACTCATGGATTCTTTTTTTATTCCATGTGTTGTAAACCATCAGTGTCATTATTTCTTATGCTTCGAGGTTTTGGCAATAGGAGCCCTTCTAGCTGGCTCTTGTGTCCTTTTGACATAACTCTATCGGCCTTTGAGCACCTCCTTTCTGTCAAAACAAAATGTTCCTCGTACTTTATATGACCCAGCCTAGAATTTCTCCAAGGAGCTCTAGTCCCTTTGGGGGGGCCTGTTGAGGTCAGTCTAGTTATCACATAGAATGTCCCCTCCTTTAGATGTGTAGTAGATACTTGTTTGTGTTGTTATTTAGCTTATCCTCGTAATTCTATATTTTTTATAAAGTGGAAGTTTGTTTAAAACTTGATTCTAGTTTAAAATCATGAGTGTGATGTGTGATGGCATTTTACATCGGAATACAAGATACATTGGTTGACCCGCCCTTGAGGATGCTATAGCTACTACTTATGTGTAATTTTTTTTTTTTTGTAACTAATTTTTTGATAGTTGAGTTTATTAACTTTCCCTTTAACATGGAACAGAAAGAACAGAGTAGTACCTTTGAGTCTGAATTTTTACTTATTTTATTTAATTAATTTATTTGGGTGTGTGTGACAGGGTCTCACTCTGTTGTCTGGGTAGGAGTGCAGTAGTGTCATCATAGCTCACTGCAGCCTTGAACTCCTGGGCTCAAGTGATTCTCCTGTCTCAGCCTCCCAAGTAGCTGGGACTACAGGCATGTACCACCATGCCGGGCTAATTTTTAAAATTTTTTGTAGAGTCAAGGTCAGGGTCTCGCAGTGTTGCTCAGGCTAGTCTCGGAACACCTAGCCTCAGGCACCCTCCCACCTTGGCCTCCCAAAGTGCAGGGGTTATAGACGTGAGCCACTGCCACTGAATTTTTAAAGGTCATTTGAAAGAAGTAGACATTGCCTAATCTATTAAGATTTACAAATACCTGTAAGACCCTTAGCTTGGAATGGCCTGACATTAAAGAAAAGTATTAATTGGTCATGTTTTATAAATATTTAATTTTCTTGAATTGTAATCATATTTTCCTCTTCTCCCCCCACCTTTGTTAATAGTTGGACAGAGAGACACTGAAGATGTGAGTGAAAGAGGGTCCAGTAAAGAGATGGCTGCTAACTCGGCGGTGGTTCCTGACATCACAAGTGACCAGCAGGAGGAGATGCCTGAAATAATTGAGCAGGTTCCTTCTTCAGAAAGCAATTTAGAAGAGTTAACACAACCCACTGAGTCCCAGGCTAATGATGTTGGATTTAAGAAGGTGTTTAAGTTTGTGGGCCTTAAATTCACTGTGAAAAAGGATAAGAGCGAGAAGTCCGACGCTGTCAAACTACTCACTGTCAAGAAAGAGGAAGGTGAGGGAGCGGCAGGGGCAGGCGACCACCCAGAGCCCAGCCGGGAGGCAGGGGAGGCCACCCCCAAAGAAAGTGAACTCCAGCAGTCCAAAGAGAAACCTGAAGAGGCCCTCAAGCACGAGCAAAGCCACGCAGAAACTCCTCTTCAAGCTGAATCTGCTCAGGCAGCAGAGCAGGGCAAAGATGAGGGAGAAGACAAACAGGAAAAAGAGCCCAGCAAATCCCCAGAATCCCCGACCAGTCCGGTGACCAGCGAAACAGCATCGCCCTTCAAGAAATTCTTCACTCAAGGTTGGGCCGGCTGGCGGAAGAAGACCAGTTTCAGGAAGCCAAAGGAGGAGGAGTTGGAAGCTCCAGAGAAGAAAAAGGAACCAGAGCCAGAAAAAGCAGACACAGAGGACAAGGAAAAGACAGCAGAAGACAGCTCTGAGAAGCCCACCCCCACCGAGTGTGACCAGCCGCCGCCACAGGAGCCCACGGAGAGTGCCCAGGAGGCCAGGTTATCGGCCGAGTATGAGAAAGTAGAGCTGCCCCCGGAAGACCAAGTCCTGCCGGCATCTCCTGAAGAGAAACTCGCTCCATTGGCGACAGAAGTCTTTGATGACAAAGTAGAAGTCCATCAAGAGGTTGTCGCAGACGTCCACGTCAGCACTGCGGAGGAAGCAGAGGAGCAGAAAGCTGAGGTAGAAGAAACGGTAGAATCTTTGCCGCCTGAGAAATCAGTCGAAACAGATGTCGAACCTCAGGAAGCGGAACCTGCCGAGGACCTGGGAAAGACCAAAGAAGCCTGTGCCCCTGGAGAGGACCACACCCAGGTACCTGAACCAAGTCCAGATGACAAAGCGTTGCCCAAACACCCTGAAGGCATCGTGAGTGAGGTGGAAATGCTGTCCTCCCAGGAGAGAATAAAGGTGCAGGGAAGTCCGCTGAAGAAACTTTTTACCAGCACTGGCTTAAAAAAGCTTTCTGGAAAGAAACAGAAGGGGAAAAGAGGAGGAGGAGGAGATGAAGAGTCGGGGGAACACAGTCAACTTCCAATAGATTCTCCAGATAGCAATGACGAGCAGAAGGGCGAGAGCTCTGCTTCCTCCCCCGAGGAACCCGAGGAGATCACGTGCCTGGAGAAAGGGCTCTCTGAAGTGCACCAGGATGGGGAAGTCGAAGAAGGAACCACTTCTGATGGTGAAAAAAAGAGGGAGGGTGTTACTCCCTGGGCGTCTTTCAAAAAGATGGTGACGCCCAAGAAACGTGTCAGAAGGCCTTCTGAAAGTGACAAGGAAGATGAACTGGACAAGGTGAAGAGTGCCACCTTGTCTTCCACGGAGAGTGCAGCCTCTGAAATGCAAGAAGAAGTAAAAGGAAGCGTGGAAGAGCCAAAGCCAGAAGAACCAAAGCGCAAGGTGGATACGTCAGTATCTTGGGAAGCTTTGATTTGTGTGGGGTCATCCAAGAAAAGGGCGAGGAAAGCATCGTCTTCTGACGAGGAAGGAGCACCAAAGATGGTGGGAGGAGACAGCCAGAAAGCAGACGAGGCCGGAAAAGACAATGAAACAGGAGCAGACGCTGGGCTTGCTAGTTCCCAAGAACAGGATCCGGGGCGCGGAAGTTCCTCCCCTGAGCAAGCCGGCAGCGCTTCCGAAGGGGAGGGCGTTTCCACCTGGGAGTCATTCAAAAGATTAGTCACCGCAAGAAAAAAATCAAAGTCGAAACTGGAAGAGAAGAACGAAGACTCTGCCATTGGGACTGGTGTAGAACAGTCAGCTTCCTCAGACGCTGAAGCTGGGAAAGAAGAATCTTGGGTTTCCATTAAAAAGTTCATTCCTGGACGAAAGAAGAAAAGGCCAGACGGGAAACAAGAACAAGCAGCCATTGAAGACGCGGGGCAAGCGGAAGTCAACGAAGATGATGCCGACGTCCCAGCCGTAGTCCCCCTGTCTGAGTACGATGCTGTAGAAAGGGAGAAAATGGAAGCACAGCAAGCCCAGAAAAGTGCGGAGAAGCCTGAGCAGATGGCAGGTGTTTGTGTGTCTGAGGAGCTCAGCAAGACTCTGGTCCACACAGTGGCCGTGGCTGTGGTTGACGGGACAAGGGCAGTTACCAGTGTTGAAGAGAGGTCTCCTTCTTGGATATCTGCTTCAGTGACAGAGCCTCTTGAACAAGCAGAAGAAGACGAAGCCACATCATTAGCTAGGGAGGTATCTGAGAGAGAAGTGATTGCAGAGGAAACCCCTACAGTCACCAAAGCCGTGCCAGAGGACAGAGATGCCCGTGATGACACGACCGGCAGTGAGATGCAGTTAACTGCTGAAGATGTGACAGCTGCAGAAACGGCAGAGGCATTTTGTGCTGAAGAAGCAACCGAAGCGTCTGGTGCTGAAGAGACCACAGAAATGGTGTCAGCAGTTTCCCAGTTAACTGACTCCCCAGACACCACAGAGGAAGCGACGCCGGTGCAGGAGGTGGAAGGTGGCGTGCTAGACGTAGAAGAGCAAGAGAGGCGGACTCAAGAGGTCCTGCAGGCGGTTGCAGAAAAAGTGAAAGAGGAATCCCAGCTTCATGGCACCAGTGGGCCAGAAGACACAATTCAGACCATGCAGAAGGCAGAGTCAGAGCCACCAGAGGAGCTGGAAGAAGCAGAAGAGGGTCCGAAGAGAGAGGCGGATGTCGTGTTGCAAGTACATGTACAGCAGACTGAAACTGAACATTTTACACAGGGAAAAGTAATGGTACAAGCCACCGTGGAAAGCTCTGAAGAAGCTCCTCAAGTCGCAGATGGTGTAGGGTCCAGCGAGCTTATAACCACTTGTCAAGCTGAAACCTTAGCTGGGGTAACTTCACAGGAGATCACGGTGGAACAGGCCGTGCCCCCTGACTCAGTTGAAACCCCGTCAGACAGTGAGACCGATGGAAGCACCCCCGTAGCAGACGCTGAAGCTCTGGATACAGCACAGCAAGATAAGATTCTGGAAGTCCATGTAGATAATGAGGTCACATCTGGAACCCAGTCACCGGTCACAGAGGCAGAGGCAGAGGCAGAGCCACCAGAGAAGCTGGAAGAAGCAGAAGAGGGTCCGAGGAAAGAGATGGATGTCGTGTTGCAAGTACATGTACAGCAGACTGAAACTGAACATTTTACACAGGAGAAGGTAATAGTACGAGCCACCGTGGAAAGCTCTGAAGAAGCTCCTCAAGTCGCAGATGGTGTAGAGTCCAGTGAGCTTATAACCACTTGTCAAGCTGAAACCTTAGCTGGGGTAACTTCACAGGAGATCACGGTAGAACAGGCCATCCCCCCTGACTCAGTTGAAACCCCGTCAGACAGTGAGACCAATGGAAGCACCCCCGTAGCAGACGTTGAAGCTCTAGATACAGCACAGCAAGACAAGATTCTGGAAGTCCATGCAGATAGTGAGGTTGAATCTGGTACCCAGTCACCGGTCACAGAGGCAGAGTCAGTTCCAGAGAAGCTTCCAGCACCTTCTAGTTTTCAATCCCAGGAAGAAAATAAAGAGCAGTCAGAAGTGGAAGATGTCCTAGAACATCCAGATAAAGCAGCCTCAGTGGAAACCGTACCCATTCTGTTGAAGACTGAGGTGATTGAAGAGGCCGGCCAGTGTGCCGATGAAGAAACCAAAGACATACCATTTGTTGAAGGACTTGAAGTGTCTGTAGACACAGATGCACCAGTCAGTTACGAAACGATCACTGAAGTTGCCCCTAAAAGTGAAGTGACTACAGAAGCTGACTGTCAAAAGAATGGTACAATTGAACTCCAGAGTCCTACTAAGTCTCCTCCATCCCCAGTGGAGAGTGAGATGGTAGTTTCAGTAGAAAGGGAAGAAATCAAAGCAGAGCCAGCCCAAGTGAGTGAAGAGAAACTTGAGCAAAAAACAGTTACTGTAACTGATGAGCTCAGCGTGCGACTGGTTCAGACAGTTAACGTGACCGTCATAGACAGGGAGAAGGAAGTTAGCAGTTTGGAAGGCAGCCCTCCTCCTTGCCCAGGTCAGGAGGAGGCAATATGCACAGAAGTTCAAGTTCAGAGCTCCGAGGCATCATTATTAGCTCTAACAGCTGCAATAGTGGAGGAGAAGGTCTTAGGAGAAGCTGTCAAAATTTTAGAGACAGGTGAAACTTTGGAGTCTGCAGGTGCACATTTAGTACTGGAAGAGGAACCCTCTGAAAAAGATGAAGATGTTACAGCTCAGCCTGGAGAAGTGGTTGAGCCCACGGGGCCTGAGTCTCAGGCAGAAGCAACACCAGTAACAGCATCTGCCACTCATGAAGAAGGCTTCTGCTCTGCCCTGGAAGGAGAGAAAACCCCGTCGCAGAAATGGAATTCAGATGAAGTCAGTGAGCATGTTGTTCATCAGGAAGTCAAAGTGAGTGTAGCAAGAGAGGAAGATGTAAAGGCCGACAGTGAGATTTTGGAATTTGTGACTGAGAGCAGTAAACTCGTCCAGAGCATAATTCAGACCGCTGTTGACCAGTTCGTGCGCACAGAAGAAACAACCACTGAAGTGTTTACATCCAATTTACAGTCACAGGCCCACGTGGTGGAAGCTGACAGTCAGGCGGCTGGACAGGAAACGGAAATAGAAGACAGTGAAGGTCAGGTCTCCGAACAGGATGAAATACCAACGGTTGCAGCCAAAGAGGAGTCAGAGCTAACCACCGTGGGACAGGTACCTTTGGATATATCCAAAGATGTGAGTGATGCTTCAGAAAAGACCACTGAGGTAGAAAGTTCCAATGTAAATGACCAACAGCTTGAAGAGCTTATTCTCCCACCTGAGGAAGAGAGAGATGGAACTGGAACACAGTCTGTGCCAGCAGGTGATGGCGATGCTGTCTTAGGAGAAAGAATAGAGAAGTCACAGTTTGAATCCAAAGAAGACGAAGAAGGTGATGCTGTCGATCACCCTAAGAGCCAGGACTCGGTCCTGGCCGACACTCATGCCTCAGGAGACTTAACCAAAGAGTCCCCAGATACAAATGGACCAAAACGAAAAGAGAAGGAAGGTGCCCAGGAAGTAGAAGTTCAGGAAGGAAAAGTGCACAGTGAGTCAGATGAAGAGGTCAGAACCCAAACACAGGAGGAGATACGGAAAGAAGAGAGGGAACCAGCAGACTCAGAGCTTATGGAATCCTAAAACATCATGTAAGTAACGTGTTGTTTTTCCTCTTTGATGCCATTAGGTGGCAAGTTTACTATAAAGGAATCGAGTTCAAATAGCTATGATTTTATGCAGAAACTTCAGTTGGGGAAATAACTATCAACTAGACTAAAAGACCTAGAACAGTTTCTTTTTGGCATTGGAATGCCATTTAATCTTATTGATATTACAAAAATAATGGCTTCGTTTTACCTCTAATGGGACTGCTTTAGAAGAAAATAAAGGGGCATGCGTGTGTGCACGTGGGTATGTTTGGCTCAAATGCCTAAGAGACAAATTGTGCTCACTCAGCATCGTATCCACTAGTTTTTGAGGTTTTTTTTTTTTTTTTTTTTTAATATCAGACTGCTTAAAATATACTTTATAGCTTTTTAGGAAAAAATTGAGTTTTTCCCCCAGCTGTAGTAACAAGCATTTTTTAGAATTTTCCAATGCATATGATGACTGGGTTAGAGAACCATAGCCCTAGTTTAGTGGCAGCATAGGATAGTTCAATATGGACCCCTTGCCATCGTTTTTTTTTTTTTGAGAGGGGGGTCTCTCTGTCACCCAGGGCTAGACTGCAGAGGGTGTCATCATAGCTCACTGCAACCTCCAACTCCTGGGCTCAAGCAATCCTCCTGCCTCAGCCTCCCAAGTAGCTAGGACTACAGGTGTGCATAACTGTGCCCAGCTAATTTTTCTATTATTTGTAGAGATGGGGTCTTGCTCTTGCTCAGGCTGGTCTCCAACTTCTAGCCTCAAGCAGTCTTCCTGCTTCAGCCTCTGAAAGTGCTAGGATTATAGACGTGAGCCACTGTGCCCCGCCATTTTGGTGTTGTGTTTTTTTTTTAATCGAGTTAAACTGTGGTATTATTGGGGTTCTCAGTAAATTTGGTTCATTTTCCCAACTGTTCTGTTATTAATAATTGAGGGTGGAAAAGGAAATTTTATTTATTCTGATTCTTACTCTTCCTACAGTTAAACTCATTGTCTGTTTGCAAGACCAGAATGTGAAGACAAGTAGTGGAAGAAAACGAATGCTGCTGCTAAGACCGCAAGACCAGTATTTCAGAACTTTGAGCACCGGAGGGCAGGCACCTGAACTGAGCTTGTTTCTAGAGAGCCCCTGACAATCCTGAGGCTTCTTCAGGAGCTATCGCCGTATAACATTGCCTCTTTTCAAGACCACCCTACTATTCTATTCTCCCTCAATACCATATAATGTTTCTGATTTAAGGTTCTAAATTCCTAACCTGGAACTGGAGACGGCAATACTTAGTTCTGCTTCTGAAACTGGAGTATCATTCTTCATGTATTTATATGTATGTTTTACGTAATCCTCCTTGTGTATCTATTGTATATTTTTTTTCTTAATGTTTAAGGAAATGTGCAGGATAGTATATGTCTTTTGTATCCCACAATATATGACGGGGCACGCGGCCATGGTGAAGCCTTGGGGAGCTTTTAAAGCCTCAGTTATAACCTGTGAAGCGCAGAGCTTCCTAGAAATGACATTCCTGACCAGAAGGTACAGTTCGTATTGTAAAACTCAATAATGATTAGGTCCGTGTTTAGAAGCACTCTGAAATTGGTCTCCTTTCCTATTAGGCACAGTGTGCTAACAATAAAAAGCATTTTTGAACGTACAAAATTGTTCCATTGTTACTGTGAAATTTTTCTTTCTAGCCCAGTGAAGGTTGGAAAGAAGTTGTTTCCAGTAGCAGACAGATTAAGTCTTTTCTCCTACTTGTTGGATGGTTGTTTAGACAGATGCGTGTGCTTAATCCTGAGGCAAAGTAGTGAAATGTTTTTTATGTTACAAAGAAAATAATTGACTGTTGTAAGTTTTTACTTCTACTCTTCTATGCTGGACCACATTCACACGCAGCATGCCATAAGTCAGGTTCTTAACAAATGGTATTTTGATAGATACTGGATTGTGACTGTGCCATATTTGTGCCCTTTCTTCTAAGAACAGTGTTGCATATTATGTTCATTTGGATAAAGTGTGATTTGACGATGGATTTAAATAAAATATTTGCTTCACTTAGATTTGCTGGTTTTCTTAGATACTAAGAATCCTGATACCTATGTTTAATTACTGCATTAGAATAATAAGATAATGATTGATAGCCTGGAACTTCCAATGTAGTCACTACATGGAAACATCTCTTTATGCTGGTTTGAGTTGGACCTGCAGAGGGAGTCAAGACTGAGATGCTTTTGCTGAAATAAACCAGTAGCTTTTAGGTTGACATTACTGGTTCGATTTTACTATCTGGTAATTCCTGAAAAAGTCAGTTTTCTGTGTTAGTACTTTTGGTTTCAAACAGTGACAAATGTCTCTAGAGAGAAATTTTAAGGTAGCTTACTAGTAAAAATGTCTTTGCCTAAAATAAAAGGTGACCTTGGAAAATTGTTTAAATGTTGGAATGGTGAGTCATCCTAATACATAAGGAATTTGTCAGGTAATTGCCACCCATAGAACACTCTGTCACTTGTCTACTGTAGAGTTCTAATTTTTTCACATATAGAATTGGTCTGGCATGTAGCTGCTTAAATTTTATTCAAACTTACTACTCCTATTTGAGAATTTAAATATCAACTGCCAATAAATGATTTTTAAAGCGTAACATTCTAGAAAGCCTACTTTTAGCAGAGAGAAAATTTGCTGTTAAAAATTTAAAGTGGTTTCTCTTATGCTAACAAACCTCACTACATAAATAATTGGCCATGTTAGTAAGACACCTCATGATAACAGTGTATATAGGCTTGTAGTTGGAAAACATTTAATATCCTTTTAGGGGTTACTTTCAAATATATATAATAGCCACCTGTGCTTTATTATTAAATGTGGAAATTCCCCCAAATCTGACAAACTTCTACTGTAAATCTTTTTTTTTTCTTTTGGCCACCTGAAACTTAAATCCAAATGCTGCATTTAAGTTGGAGATCAGCTAAAAGGTATTGAGATGACAGCGATTTGCAAGGTGTTCATACTGACTGACTTCCTATGGTCGGAAGAGACTTTGTGCTGTTTTGAACAGACTGAAGATTTGTGTGGTTTGTAGAAAATGGATTTTTGTTGCTGTTGTTTCAATTCCATCCTGCTACTTCATTCTGCGTGTTTGTCTTTTCTTAACCACCTGTGACCAGGTGATTCTGGCCACCACGAGGTTGGTTTCCAGTGGTAGCTGTTTCATGAGGGTGCTTGGTGTACTAACCTCTGGATTTGCCGGGATTACTTCTGTGCAAGCTCTGTATCTATGTTCGCTGAGCAACCTTGTTTTATTAACAACAGGAACACCGGCAGTAGCATGAAATGCAATTGTTTTTATAATTCTAAAGCTGCTGTTAACTTACGAAGTACATAATTACCAAATGTAAACTGCAAAAGTTGGAGCAAGTGCCTAAATTTTGCTATTTTTGGCATTACTGTGGAGCCATGTACAATAGAAAGCAATGCAAGACTTCTAAACTCGTGCCACTTCTTGTAATTGGGGAATATAAAATGTTCCCCCTCAGGTTATTTTGCTTATGGTACCCATGAGTTGCCTGTCTCTGTACATAGATACGTTCGTTGTTCCAGTATTTTCCTCCGATGTCTGGAACTGCAGATAGTCAAGGGCTGGAAATTTTAGCTTGGAGTTTAGCACTTACCTCTGATCCAAAACAATATTTGGATTCGCTAGTTCTGTTTGGGGGCAAATTTTCACTTATCTAAATAAAATGCAATGTAATTAAGTGCCATGGATTTTCTTTCTATAGTTTCATCTTGATCCGTTTTGATTGCTTTTCCCTTTACTGTTGTGATATTTATCACATATATAGATAAGCTCTACTTTTAACTACTTAGCTGTCCTTTGTGACTCAGTCCATATAGTATGGTGAGAGTTTGGAATGAGCATGTGTGTGATAGGTGTGAATGCATAACAGTCTCTATCCACGATTCTCAACCTTTTTGGGTCTCACGCCCCTTTAATCAGAACCTCATTAATCCTCTGGCTGGCTCTAACTCCCCCAAATAAACACAGTTTTATGTATGGTTTTTGGATAGTCACACAGACCTCTGAAATGCCAACCAATAACCGGAACCAGAGTTAGAACCTCTTTCTCCAAGGAAATGGACACGGATTCCAGATAGAGTTCAGAATGTGAACACAAAACCAGTATTGCATAAGTCCAAATCTGCATGAGTTTTCATTCTAACGGGGTTTTGGAAATGGATCTGCTGGACACAACAGACCTGGTACAATTTTCGTATAAATGAAGTTTCTCCTTACTAATGAATTCCTTACTGTCTGCAGCCTGTATCTTTGGAATTAGGAAAATAATCTGGGCCCTACTTTTATATATGAGAAAGCTGAGACTTTTAAGTGCTAACACAGATTTTGGCTAAGGTGGTGACCAGGACCTGGGGATAGAATGATGGTGAAAATAATCACTGTTTTTTTTTAAATGCAGCCACAGCCTAGAAATCTATTATTCCCCCTTTTTGATATTTAAACTTAACAGGCATCTTGCAAGGCGCAGTGGCAGCCTACCTGCAGTGCCAGCTTCTGGGGGAGGCTGAGGCTTGAGCCCAGTGAGCTATGACCAGGCCACTGCCCTCCAGCCTTGGGGAGAAAGTGAGACCCCCATCTATACATAAATACATAAAGATAAATAAAAGCCATAAATGAATTGCTTATTAGCAGAATAAATAAGTTAACAAGCAAAAAAAGTTTTTCCTTTCCTTCCTTTCCCCCCCCAATTGCTTCTGCTCTCATAGAAATGCTTGCATATTTGGGAAAATATCATTTTTTCTTTGTGATGTAATTTGGACAAACCTAGGTCTAAAGCCAAACACAAACGAGTAGGCCAGATGAGCAAAAAAGCCATGCCTTACATTTTTTGCCGTTGTGCTTGCTTTTTTGCTAAATCAAGGGCTTGTCAATTGCATGAGACTTGTCAGTTACCGAATGTTAGTCAAACCTTGTGTGTTGGGTGTTAATAAAATCGGGAGTAGATAGAAAAAGCATTGCTTTTGAATGAGCCACATAGGGGTTTGAATCCTGGCTGTGTTTATAATGGCTGGGTCACCTCAGAAAAGTTACTTAACCTCTGTGGGTCTCAGTTTTCTCATATAAAAAAACTGGAGACATGTCCGACAGGATTGTCAGGAGTAGTTACTGAAAGTACGCAGTAGGCAGACGCCCAGTTCGTGATCTGCCTTCACTCCCACTCCTCCTTTGAGTTGAGAGGACGTTCTTCACCAGGATCCATTTTCCCCCAAGCCAGGAATTGCAACAGGACAGGTGTTGTACATTTTCCAGAGAATAGCACAAGTATGATTTGTGAATTTAATAACATTTCTTTATGTTCAAAAATATTTTGATCTGCCCGAGGAGACTGAAACCAAAGAGTATCATTTCATCCTGGTCCATTATTTTTCCACACTAAAAATTGCCACAATCTAATTTTTTTTTTAATCTTATTTAGAGATCTGCTAACAGTTTAGTAGATATTCTTACAGTTGTGTTGAAGGAGCTAGTTCTAGAAAGGCAGGCTAATTGATCTTGTATCTTAAGATAATTAACTTTTTATTTGCTTAGAGATTTCTAAGCCTAAATCTGGTTTACCTGCAAATGATGTGTAGCAATCCTTTGTTCTAGACCTAAATGGGGGACTAAAAGCAAAATGCCATTTAGATATTTGGAGAGTTCTGCAAATTGTCATAAAAATGCAAATGTCAACTTGGTTGCATTCCATTACAATAAACTACGCTCCACCTACACATACTTTTGTCATAGAATTCACTCCTAGTGAACAGTGAAGAGGGCTTTCCCTTCCCCACCATAATCCCCAGCCAAGTTGCTGGATGTACTGCATGTGTACCACCCTCTTCAATAATCCCTTGAAGTGGCTGTCGCTTCCTAAATGTAGCAGTGTAGTGTTTTATCTGAAATGGGTGACTGAAGCCTGAAATTTTGAACTGAAGGGTCCAGTTTTGGATGCCTCAGCTCTTCCCTTCTTTTGCAAGATGAAATTTCAAAGGCGACAATGGCAATCACCTATAACAAAGAGAAGGTCGGGGTCTACTCCTCTCCATTCATACATCATCCAAAGCTACTTTTTAATGGCAATGCTTTCTTTCCATTAAAGCTGTATTTCCTATGAGGAAATTACATAGCACTTTAGAAAATCCAGTTTTTAGCAACATCTGTTGAACGAATGAGCCACTTTTATTTATTTACCTTATTTTTAATTTTTTTCAGAGAGCAGGTCTTACTCTGGCACTCAGGCTGGAGTGCAGTGGTGTGGTCACAGCTAACTGTAACCTTGAACTTCTGGGCTCAAGCGATAGATCCTCTTGCCTCAGCCTAGTAGCTAGGACTACAGGCTTTCACCACCACACTCAGCAATTTTTTCTTGTTTTTTTTTGTAGAGTCAGGGTCTTGCTATGTTGCCCAGACTTGTCTCAAACTCCTGGGCTCAAGTGATCCTCCCACCTTGGCCTCCTTAAGTGTTGGGATTACAGGTGTGAGCCACTTTTTATTGTTTTCCCAATGTAAGTTAAACACCAGTGGTGTTCACAAGGGCCAGAACCAGAAGAATGACAGCTCAGATTAATTCTGAAGCTTACATGTTTGGATTGCTTATACCGTCAACTGAAATTTCCAAGCTTATTTAGACTGGTACCATCCAAAACTCAGAATAAATTATTAAGTTTATAACCTCTCAGGTTAATAGGCACCAAGCATTCCAAGGTGGGGCCAGTGGGCTTCAGCATCTACACTCAGCTCTTCTCTGTTTTGGGAGGGAGCTGGAGTTCAGCAGGTCTCCCCCACGCCCTGGGTGGAGGAGGTGGCCACAAGCTGATACTAGAAGCCCCAGCATCCATACATAACTAGGAGATGAACACAGCACCTGCCCTTCCCCCTCCAGCAACTTGCAGGAACAGAAGTGGGGGTAGCCGGCATGCTGCCCTCACCCACCATTGTCGTGATTCCCATGACTTTCTGATCCCCAAGACCCTGCCTGCTCTTTGGCTGCATCTCATGTCCCTTCAAGGCTGCATGGTGTGGCCTTGAGGGCTGCAGAGGCACACCCTGATTCCCCCGTCACAGACATTCAGAGAAGTCAACTTGGCACGCATGAGGCTCTCATTGAAGTTGGGAGATGTGAATCTAGTTTTTTTCTTTTTGAGACAAAGTCTCACTCTGTTAGCCAGGCTAGAGTGCTGTGGCATCAGCCTAGCTCACAGCAACCTCAAACTCCTGGGCTCAAGCGATCCTCCTGCCTCAGCCTCCCAAGTAGCTGGGATGAATCTAGTTTTTTAAAAAAGATGAAACCAGGCCGGGCGCGGTGGCTCACGCCTGTAATCCTAGCACTCTGGGAGGCCGAGGCGGGCAGATTGCTCAAGGTCAGGAGTTCGAAACCACCCTGAGCAAGAGCGAGACCCTGTCTCTACTATAAATAGAAAGAAATTAATTGGCCAACTAATATATATAGAAAAAATTAGCCGGGCATGGTGGCGCATGCCTGTAGTCTCAGCTACTCGGGAGGCTGAGGCAGGAGGATCGCTTGAGCCGAGGAGCTGGAGGTTGCTGTGAGCTAGGCTGACGCCATGGCACTCACTCTAGCCTGGGCAACAAAGCGAGACTCTGTCTCAAAAAAAAAAAAAAATGAAACCAGTGGAAACCACTCAATATTTAATAATCAAGGTTTATATTGCACTTTGAATTTGTGTCATTTTTAGGCAAACATCTCCTGGCCTCCTATTTCTTCCTGGTGAAAGAAAGTTGGGTAAGATGATCTCTAGACATATTCCTGGTCAAACTTTATTCATAGCATCTTCACAGAGTGTTCACTCATTTGATTTTCACAATCTGATGACCCAATGTGGTTATAAACGTCTTCATTTTACAAATGCAGAAAATGCCACTCACATTAGGGGAAGTGCCCAAAGTTCTGCAGCCAGGAGGACAAGATACAGCTAGAAAATGAATCCTCACACAGGCTTCCCCCACTTCCTCTTCCTGTATCTCTTTGGGTAGACAAATACACAGAGATAAAATCACATACTCATTTAATTAAACATTTATTCAATGAAAGGATGTATAAAAACTTACAAATCTGAGAACTCAACTATACATGAAATAGGACGATGGGATATTCAGTTTTTAACGTGTACATAGAGTATAGCTATTAACTATTCTCCCCTTCCTTTTCCCCTCAGTCCTTATTTCTGGCTCCTATTTTGTACTGTGAGACCACCCTTTTATTGGCCTAAGGGAGGATTAATGGACAATTTTTACAATTTTACATTCAGGCCAATGGAAAAAATTAAAAAAAAAAAAAACCAACTAGAAAATAAACGTCAAAATCAAGTTTTTTTTTCCCAAATAGCAATTAGATTTTTTGTCCTGATTTCTCTTTGCCATTTTTGATGCTTCAATTAATGTTGCCAGTAAACTATTAGCATTGACTTTTCAAGTTATTAAAGTTACTACATCTTGTGCTCACAACTTTCCCCATAAGATGCATATTCCCATATCCTTTTCCCTGGTGTACACACTGATTTAAAAGCAGCCGGATGGTGCAAAAATCAATTATCACTGGCAACTGCTAGAGAATGGCATGTCATTTTCTATCCAGAGAGACAATTTACAGAATAGTACTTTCAAATCTGACTTTTAAAACAAACAACAAATTTGTCAGAAACTAAAATACAGCATTTTGTTGTTCAACTGGGAAAGAAGCCAGCAATTAGATAAGGCATGTGCATTAATTTGCCTGTTTATAGCAAGTACCCACAACGTTTTCTCTTATAAACAAACTCATAGCTTGTTTTATCCAAAAATTAAGATTGCCATCACATTATTACCTTTTCTCTTTTGTGTTTTTTTAAAGTAGATTTCTTAACTAATGATTTTTCTTAATTGGACATAATCTCAAAGGATGCATTCTGAAACAAGACACCTGCAGGATAAATACTAATAACTTTTTTTCGGGTTTAAAGTTTCCCCACACCTTCTGGATTTTTGCATAGTACAGAGCCCAGCACTATCTCAGAGATGCATGCTGTATTTTCTGACAATATTTTTCTGAGAAGGAAGACTTATTACCCAGGGAAAGTCATAATTTTAGCTTACCAAATTGCATTCTAGTTGTTTTGTTTTGTTATATACCCTTCATTAGTTCCAAGTATGCTTTTAAATAATCTAAAACTTCTCAAAATCTATTTGAGTTTATAAGTACTACTAACCATTATCTTTCCAATATCCCCTGAATTAAAGTAGATACATTCCAGGTTTATAATGCACAAAGCCTTTACAGAGGTGGGGCTGGGGTGGGGTGGAGGGGAAGAGGAGAAGGGAACAGGGACCTGTTTGTATCATGCCACGGAGAACTACAGTTCTGAATTGGGGGAAAGGAAGGACAACAGTCTTTGTAAAAATGACAGTTTTTTAAAAGATAAGTAATATTCAGTCTAATAATACAGTTTCCTGTTCCTTTTTGATGGAAGCTAGCACTGGGTGGTCAGCTTCCGTTACTTCTGAGTCCCCACTGCCCAGGAGAATGGACCGCCCTTCGTCTAGGGCAAAAACGTCCGAGTTCTGGTTTTGGCATGAATGTTTAACAACCTCATTGGGCGTTGAGAATGTTTTGTCACACAAGTTACATTTGTAGGGTTTGTTGGTTTGTACCAGCATGTTGTCCATCTGACTACCTTCCTCGAACGTGCAGAGTTCCAGAGTCTGTTTGTCCACCATGGTGTATGTGTCGATGCTCTGGTTGAGGCACACGTGGCGGGCAGCCTGGTTGGCCCTGCAGAAGCTCTTGTCACAAGTGCTGCATTTGAAAGGCTTGCCGGTGTGTATGTACATGTGCTCCCTCCAGTGGCTTTTCTGGATAAATTTGCGTCCACATATCGTGCACTCGTACTTCCGCCTCTTCACCTCCCTCTCCTGGTCGGCCTGCTCCAAGTTGTCAATGTCAGCGATGTCTGAGGGGGGTGGCGTTTCCGACTGCTGCTGTCCATCGATGATTGGAGAATCTGAGATGTGCTGCAGCTCACTGTCACTTATCATCCCAGCTTCAGGCACTTCCATGGCATCTTTCCCAAGGTCAGCGGCATTGCTACAGAGAGACAGGGGCACCCGGCTTTCTCCCTGCTGGCTGGACGTGAAAGGGACTCCCGTGTGAATCTGGAGGTGCTCGCGCAAGCTGCTCCGCAGGGTGAAGCGCCGTCCACACAGGTGGCAGGCGTAGTACTTTGGGAAGCTTCCGTTCCTCTTCATGATGCTCGGCTTGACGTGGGCTATGGTGAGGGACGCAGGCTGTTCGTCAGAGGAAGAGGCTTCCAGGTTGGTCTCCTCCCCGGGAGGAGGGGGAGGAACAGGAGTGGAAACAAGTTCTGGAGACAGCGAGGTCTGCAGCGGGTCCGAGGGAGTCATGTTTGTCCGATTCACCTGGGCCAGATTCGAAGTCAGCTGGGAGAGCTGAGAGGCCTCTGGCACTGGCTCCTGGCTCATTCTGGAAGGCTGTGGCCTTGGCTCTCGCCCCAGTTTTTCAGGTGCTGAAGCAATCTTAGTGGCTTGTCTCAACTGATGATCTGCAATCTGAATGCCATACAACGAAGAAGCCAGGGGGAAGACTTGGTCGGGATGAGTGAAGGCTCCTTGGCTGGCGAGGCTGGCCTCCTGGATCAGCGGGTATGCGTGCAGAAACTTGATCCCCTGTTCTAATCGGACAGGGTCAATCAGCTGAGGCGCCATCTTCCCAGTGTACATCAAATGTAAGAGATAGCTGAAAATATCCGGCTGTATATCCGTTGGTTTCAAACGGACACACTCACTGAAAGAAACAAGTAAAAAAATCTGTAAGTAAATGCCAATCTAGGTCTCAAATGATAACACAAAGCCTGAAGAAAAAAATACACACTTAAAAATAAATGAAACAAGAGTATTTCCCATTTCTGACTGTTACTAAGTTTCATGAAATGGATGGAAGAGTCAAAAGTTCATATTAAGCAAATGTGATGTAACCTGTAGACTCTTAACACAGTTCTTCTCCTAGTTATCTAATGTCAAATTAAATGTTATGTATTATATTTTATACAGAACTCCAGGAGTTCCTTATCAAATGTAATCATTAGCATCAGCACTGCTGCTGGGCTTTGCAGGGATTCTTTCTCACTTGATCGCCGTTAATTCTCATTTTACAGAAAAGGGTTGAAGCTTAGAAGGGTTAATACCTTGCTCGATATATCACACAGTTGGTAAGTGGCGGAATTGAGATTTGAACCTAGCTCTACCTAACTGCAAAGCCACTGCACCAAAATCCTTCATTAAAACAATCCTGTGTGGTAGGCAATAGATCTGATTATTGACATTTGACAGATATGGAAACTGAGGTCCCCAAAAGTTAAGTGATTTAAATGAGACATTAATTAATATGTTAATAAACATGTTAAAGACATATAAAAACATAGTAAACATATTAACAACATATTAAAGCAGTTGATGGTACTGTTGATTTCCTCAGTTTTAGACTCTACTGTTTGCATCATTTCAGAAACATCATCCTGATCAAGCAATAATAATGAAGAGGTCCCCAAGAACTCTTCCCAGACTGTCGATAATGACTGAAATTCTATTGCATCATTAGAAATTAATCAGATAGATATCTATATATCATGAGGTATACTTTTAATCAACCACTGAGTGAATACATTCTACAATGAATTTTCAACTTCAAAGATAGCTTCCTTGAATGCTTTTAGAATTTATGAACATTTTTTTCTTATTTTTTAATTTTTTTTAAAACAAGGTCTCTTTATGTTGCCTAGGCTGGTCTCAAACTCTTGGCCTCAAGGGACCCTCTTGCTGGGATTACAGGCATGAACTACCACACCCAGTCCATTTTTTTATATACCATTTCTTGGGATTGTAATTCTCCTTGGCTCTTCTAGCAGTGATGTTCGTTTTATTAACAAATGTTTTCAATATGCTAAAATTATTAACATCATACCCTGCTCTTCTAAATCTAACATTTTATTCTATTTAAAACAAAAAAGTGATTTTACCAGCAATTTGTAACAACAGATTTCTATAATTACTGTATTGCTATCAATGTGTGTATATTTCAAGAAGGCTGTGTACAAATAACTCAATTGTTTTGAATCAAAGTATGGAAGTCAAAAAATAAAAAGCATAAAAACTAGCATCTCTTTGACGGTATAAAGGGAAGAGTATATGTGACTATTTTTCTCTTCTTTAAAAACAGACACACAGATCCTTCATATTTTTATTTGGAGTCCTTTTATATCCCTTTAAACAGGAATGCAAATACAGGTGATCTTCTCTTTAAACACGAGATAAGTCCCAACAATACTAAGTGCATACTATACCATATTTAGATGCTCAGGGGAAATTCAATAATTAAAATAAAGCTTCAGGGTTTACTGTGGTGAAGACTTTACAATGTAAACAATCAGCTCCCAAGTGAATGCAAGACTAGGGGGAACTTGTCCAGGACTGGGCCCAGGCCTAGAGACAGGAAGGCCTCAGGCCTTCAGAGATGCAAATGACCCGCAGACTATATCAGGCACCTTTTGTCCTGCAGGATGGAACATTCCTGCAGGGAGAGGGAGTCCCCTCGCCTGACTCCCCTTCCCCCACAAAAGGGGAAGGGCAGAAATCCAGAGGGGAGCTTTGCGCGTTGGCATCCAAGGAAGATACCACCCAGCAGAGTCCCTTTCCAGCAAAACTTTGGTTTAAGTGCTGTAATTTTTTTCTCATTTGTTGTTGGATAGGCAGCTCGACTGTACACCTCTCAAATTTGGAAGAACTGTGCACAGTCTCTGAGGGCAAAGGAAGGACAGAGCCGGGAGGCCTGGGCCCACACTGCAGCCCCGCCCACAGGGAGAGGACCTCCCAGGACCCGCTGGGGAACTGCCCGGGAACAGAAAGCAGCATACCCCTGGGGTTGACAGCCAGAGGTTCCAGGGCCCAGGGAGGGCTCCAGATACCTATTTATGTCCATTTATTTATAAATTCTTTTCTTAAAGCAGAGGCAGATGTGCACACATATACACACACACTTTAAAAATTGGTGGAATGTTTAAAGTTCCTTCTGCTACAATTGAGCCATCTCCACCCTGGACTGCTTTACTCATGGCAGACTGACCTCTCAGTCACTCAGCTTGCTATGGGCCGGACTTTGGTCATTTCCTAGTCCTCTGAGAAGGACAAAGTTGCCTACAATAAAATCACATCTAAGTGGTTTGGTTTGCAGATATCTGTCTGACATAACTCTTTTATATGGGAGAAAGACGAGCATAGTTTTAGTACAGCTATAAGCCCTTCTGTATAAACTTTCACATTAATTTCCATTTTCAATTTTTCCTTCACCAGAATTTTCAAATAAATGATAGACTTAAAGAACTTTAAAAATAAGGGCCGGGCGCGGTGGCTCACGCCTGTAATCCTAGCACTCTGGAAGGCCGAGGCGGGTGGATTGCTCGAGGTCAGGAGTTCGAAACCAACCTGAGCCAAGAGCAAGACCCCATCTCTACTATAAATAGAAAGAAATTAATTAGCCAACTAATACATATAGAAAAAGTTAGCTGGCCATGGTGGCGCATGCCTGTAGTCCCAGGGGAAGCTGAGGCAGTAGGATCGCTTGAGCCCAGGAGTTTGAGGTTGCTGTGAGCTAGGCTGACGCCACGGCACTCACTCTAGCCTGGGCAACAGAGTGAGACTCTGTCTCAAAAAAAAAAATAAGGACTTTTAGATAATGTTACCATCATTGGAAGGCTGTATGTAGAAAGGCCTGTCCCTCAGTAGTTTTATTATTAAGAGCTCAAAGTCTACAGTCCTCTGTGATTTAAACTGAAACATAAGATACAGACATCTAGTGGTACCCATAGACATAGACATCCTCTGAGCTCAACTTGAAAAAAATTCTGATTGTATTCTCAGTTCTCAGCCTCCGAGTAGCCAGGTGGCGAGTGACAGTGCCTCACACACAGAGGTGCTGGTTTAAAAGCATGTCCCTGGTCTGTGCCCTGTGTTTGCCCTGCCTTGATGAGCTAGAATTCTGGAATCTGCATGTAGAAGCAAGGCCGGCCACCAGGCAATGTGTCACCTCTGGTATACTAACACATTATTGCTTACACTTGGGACTTCTAATACTTAAACAGCACATTCCCTTGTTAGAAAGGCATTTATTTACTGCCCCATACTTACGTTTCTTGCATCTAATTAAAACCCAGTACATTGTATTATTTGACTCCTCCAAATTAAAATTGTCTCTTTTTCAAGATAATCCAATTCACTATGTTGAGACCACAAAGTACAAAGCCCCCACAAGGCAGGAAGTCTCCAGCACAGATGGAGTTAAGGGGGCATCCTTGGTGTTGCAAGGTGAGCCCCCTCCCCTCCTCCATTAGTCTGTTGTGGTCCCTTCTGCTCCTCCAAACATTTGTCAAGTGGCTATTCTATTACTATTACGAGATTTGTAAGACCTAGTAGTCCCTGCCCTCAAGAAACTTACAAATGAGGTGGGGAGGTAAATATACAAATAAAAACATAGGGAGAATGTGAAGCTCTTAGAAACGGGCACAATTACCCTGCTGTGACCCTAGAGATCACTTTTGATCATTTTGGTTCTCCTGACTGGGGAGGGGTCATGGGAGAGGTGACATATGAGCTGGGACTTAGGGAGTGGGCAGAACACCAGCAAAATGCAGTTTGGGTGAGCCCAAACCATGGAAGCAGATCAGGTCAAGTGATGATGAAGGGTTCGGTATCCCAGAGAGGCCCAGCCTGAGATGAGGCTGGAAGGTGGTCAGGCTCAAGCCCGTGGGGCCTTGGGCGACAGAATAAGGAGTCTGTGCATTATTTTGACATGTAGTGGGCATCCCCTAGGTTTCTGATCAAAGGAATAACCCAATCTAGTAGGTTTCTCATCAAAGGCACACCACAATCAAAGCACTCTTTAGAAATACTAATCTGACAGTAATGTGGGAAATGAATGATTGCATAATGGAAATGAGAAAGGGACGGAAAGGACAACTGTGATTTAAAGAAAACATGATTTGGGAACTGATAAGATGTGATTTGAAAGAGATTTTTAAAGCCTGGGTTACTTGAAGATAAGAAAATAGGCATGCTGGGAAGCACTTCAAGAAGAGACTAAATTCAGTTTTAGACATCCTCAGTGAGATAAAAAGAGATATTCAGCTCTAACTGCCCTGTAGGCAGCCCAGGGCCTTGGGATTAGAGTTCTGGAGACAGAAAGGTCAAGGCCAGAGCTATAAACTGGAGTTTCCAGTACAGGCAAGATCTAGGAAAAAGACAAGTACCCTTGGCACAGTGCACAAGACAAAACTCTTAGAAATCCCAGGTTTAGAGGGCAGAAAAACAAGGCGTTATCTGGCTATAAAAATGCAGATGACAACCACTTAAGAGGAAGAAATCAGCAGCAAATGCTGCAGAAGACAGGATGCTAGAGACTGAGACAAGCGCAGTGGTTTTGGTGAGGGGTGACCTTTGAGAAAGAATTTCAGTAGAATGATGGGGTGGAAACCACAGTGCAGATGGATAGGAAGAGTGTGGGATGAGGACAGTGCTGGCAAAGACCTCGAGTACCCTTTTAAGGACTTTCATTATAGAATGAAGGAGAAGCAGCATCATAACTTAAGTCAATAGCAATGTTGAGGAAGTCCTGATCCCTCATAGCCTGGGGGTGGAGGAGGAGCATGAAAAGTATAAAACAAAAAGTACAGAATAAAAATCGAGGGGCAAGATTTCGGAGCATGGGGGAAGAAAGAAGATTGTCTTCCTGAGAGCCCCTTTTCAATAAGATAGGAGAGATGGGAAGGAAAAAACCAAGCAAAGATAAAATAGGCACATTTTAAGTCAGAAAAAGGGCAAACTGGAGGAATTCATGCCTCAAGCTTCTCATTAGAGTAGGAGACAAGAATAAACATTGAAAGTCGGGGGATATTTAGAGGACTGGGGCTGGCGGAGAGAAAAGGCTTTGATAAAGGAGTCCAGAAAAGACACTGAAGGAAGGGTCCACTGAGGTCACGTGGCTGGCTTTGTAATGAACCCAATTCTACTGATCCTGACTGTGCAGGTGACACCCAGCGAGGATATCTGGAGCAGGTGGGGCTGTGTGGAGTTAGCAGGTCTGGGTTCTCAAGTGCTACTGAAAGCATGAGTAACCAAGAAGGGTAGGGGTCAAGTGGGGTGACAAGGGAGCTGGGTGCCTAGGAGCCTAGGGACAGGTAGAGACCCATGGTCTTGATGACAGCAAGGGACATGAAGTCTATAGTCATTAGGTTATTAGCAACCACATTAGTTACCTGGTCTGATGGACAAACAACATCTTAAAGTAATTGGAGAATGAAGCAAGAACTGATTTGTGTGCCTTGAAGTATACATCGCCGATTGCAACCGTGCAGTCACACAGGAAACCAAACTCTCGCTGAGCGTTTAACTGTTGCAGTAGAATAAGTCCATGGTTGGCCAAATCCATTTTTTTAAAAATCTGCAAAGCAAACAATTTTATTTTTAAGAAAGGTGATTCACAAATAAGTATGTGTCCTTTATAGTCACCAACAGTAATGATCATAGCTAACATGTCATCACAGCTAATGTGTCAGGCACTGCTAAAAATGTTACATAAATTAACTCATTTAGTCTTCATAACAGTCCTCTGAAATAGTTCTGTCATTGCTCTCTCTCTCTTTTTTTTTAAAACAGATGACATCATTTAGGGTAAATTAGGGAGTTCTGTGATTTGTCCAAGCCTACACAGATGGCAAGTGGAAAAGCCAGGAAATGAACTCAGGTAGTCTGCCTTCAAGCAGGCATAGTATGTCCTTGAGACAGCAAATATTCCTGGGTCATTTAGTCTTTTAGTTTAAGATCTCACATGCAAATTAGAATGATGCATCAGAATTTGTCAACACTTCTATAGAGAGAGATAATTAAGGTGCTGGGGGTGGGGTCACAGCAGAGCAGGGTGAAAATCTTGCTAAGTTTAGGGCAATATTCCAGCTCCCACAGGGTGCCCTGGCCAGTGATATAATAGTTGATGCACCCATTATCCCTTTTACTCTCAACACTAGTGGAGTGAGGAAGTGAGACCGGTGCTCTGCCTCCTGTTTTGTGGAGGAAAAAATGGGCTTTCGGAGTGGAAAGTAACTTGCCCCAGGCCTTCTAGCTGGAAGGTGGGGGAATCAAAATTTAAATCTAAATGTTCTGATTTCAAATTCTATGATTTTTGTTGCTCACACTTGACTCAGCAAAGTACTCCAGCCTGAATCTATTTATAGTAGAGAAGCTGCCTGATATTACCTGGTCCTTCAAATCACAATCACTAGACTGCTCCTTTCTCACAAACAGCATTTGTAAAGGCCCACTACACACAAATCGACATTATATTTAACATTATACTTAATGCTGAGAAAGGGTGAATGCTTTCTCCATAAGATTGGGAACAAGGCAAAGATGTTTGCTCTCACTATTTAACACAGTACTAGAAGTACTAGTTAGTGAAATAAAGCAAGAAAGGAAAAAAAGGCTTATAGTTGAAAAAGGAAAAAATAAAATTTTCCCTATTTGCAGATGACATGATTGTAACATAGAAAATCACCCCCCCACCAAAATCTATAAAAACTCCTAGAACTAACAAAGAAGTCTGGCAAGTTCGTAAATGTACAAAAAGAAAAATTCAACCATAATTCTATATACCAGCAAGGAACACATGGACACTGCCATTACAAGTATAATGCCATTTACAATCACTCAAAAAAATGAAATACATAGGAGTAAATCTATAAAACATATATGAGACTTGTATGTTAAAAACTCAATGAAATAAAATAAAAGATCTCAATAAATGAACAGACGTACTATGTTTATGAACAGGAAGACTCAACAAGGGAAAGATATCAGGGTTCCCCAAATTGATACAAATATGTTTGACACATTTCCTATCAAGATCCCAGGAAGATTTTTTTTGTAGATATAGACAAAATTATTCTAAAAATGTATATGTGTAAAGGCAAAGGAACAAGTATAGCCAAAACAACTTAAAAAAAAAAGAATAATAAGGTGGGAGGAATCAGTCTACCCAATTTTGAGACATATTACATTGCTACAGCATTCAAGACTGGCTGGCATTGGCAGAAGGAAAGAAGTGCAAATCAATGGAACAAATGGAGAACCCAGACGTAGACTCACATAAATGAGCACAACTGATTACTGACGTAAGCACAAAAGCAATTCAGTGGAGAAAGAATAATCTTTTCAACAACTTCGCTTGATCAATTGGATTTCCGTAGGAAAAAAAAAGAACCTTGACCTAAGTCTCATAGCTTATATAAAAATTAACTAACTCAAAATGGATAATGGATATTAAACTATCTAACAGAAAGTAAGGAAAATAAACTCATAGCACATAATTGCCTCTTAGAAAACACACAGTACAACTACCCACTTTGTTTTGTTTAATTAAAACACCTGTGGCCTAACTCATTATCGCTAGACTTTCGTTTTCTCAGCCTTGCAGAGCCCTAAGCAGACAGCGGGGATGTGAACTCCCCACTCCAGTTCTCTGCCTCAGTTCCTCCCAGAAAAACATTTTCAAGGACTCAGATAAGCTGGCCTCACAGAGGAAAGAAAAAGAGCACCTGCAATAGCTTCACAGCCGCTTCTGTTACCGGTCTGCTGAAGCAGAGGGGAAAAGCCATTTTTTACCCTTTAAAAACTCCAAGCAACGTTTCCTCAGGGCTGACTCTTCCCTCCTTCCTCCATATGCCGTGGTCACTCCCTCCTTTTCTGTCTCTCTATCTCCCTCTCTCTGTCTTTCTTGGAAAAAAATCAACTTTTTGCTATTTTATATCCTAATCTTGCATGAAAAATCTTTTGCCACCAGTGGTGTGAGCACCTAGTAAGCTTTCCACCCTTTTACTGGTCAAAGAATTTTTACACTTAACATCAAATGCAAAATCTATGAAAGAAGAAATGGATAAACTGGACTTCATCAGAATTAAAAACTTTTGCTCTGTGAAAGACCTTGTTAAGAGGATGAAAACACATGCTAAATACTAGGAGAAAATATTTGAAAGCCTTTGCAAATTATTCCTTCAACAAATGACTAGTATCTGGAATATATAATGAACTCTCAAAACTCAATAGTAAAGAAAACAATCAAATTAGAAAATGTACAATAGACTTGAAGAGACATTTTATTAAGAGGATATACAGATGGTAAATAAACACACGAAAAGATGTTCAACATAATTAGCCAGTAGGGAAAAGCAAATTAAAACCACAATGTCACTACACACCTCATCAGGATGGCTAAAATAAAAAACAATCACAACAGTAAATGCTGGCAAGAATGTGGGAGAAACTGAATCATTCATACACTGCTGGTGGGAATGGGAATGTAAAATGTTACAGCTATTCTGGAAAATAGCAGTTTCTTAAAAAACTAAACAGGCAAGTACCATATGATCCAGCAATTGTATTCTTGGACATTTATCCCAGAGAAATGAAAACTTATGTTCACACAAAACCTGTGTGTCCACAGCAGATTAATTACTAATAGTAAAAAACTAGATACAACCAGGTGTCCTTCAGTGATTAAATAGTCAAAAAAAAAAAAAAAACACACTGTGGAAAACCCATACCATGGAAAACTACCCAGCCATAAGAAGAAACAACCTACTGACACAACTTAGGTGAATTACGCTCAGTGAAAAAAGCCAATCCCAAAAGGTTATAGACTGTATGACTACCTTGATATAATACTTTTGAAAATTATAGAAATGGAGACTAGATTAGTAGTTGTGGGGTGTAGGCCACTGGGGTGAGTTCATAGAAGGGCAACATGCAGGATTTTTGTGGTGACAGAAATGTTCCGTCTGCAGCTGACTGGATCAATGCCAATATCCTGGTTGTCAAACTACAGTCCTGCAAGGTATTTCTATTGGGGGAAGTAGGAAAGGGCATATGAGATCTCTCTATATTATTTCTCACAACTGCATGTGAATCTATAATAATCTCAAACCTACTACACATTAATTAATTGACTAAATTAAAAAAGGGGATAACTATGCTTAATTTCAAAGTTAGGGAAGCTACTGTGGAGAATGTATTATCAATAAGCCAAAACACGAAAACAAAAACAAACCCACAGTAATTCTTAATTAGCAGGCGCTGGACCAAGTGAATAATACTTTTAAGTGACTGATCAGGTCACAAAGTAAGAATCCAGGATGTCAAATTTCATGTTTTCTACCAAGAGCCATACTCAAGTATGAGAGATAGGAGAGTTATCCAATATTGCAAGTAATTTGGCTGTAAAGACCTACATTGAGGGCTGGGCACAGTGGCCCAGCCTGTAATCACAGTACTCTGGGAGGACAAGGTGGGAAGATCACTTGAGGTCAGGTGTTTGAGAACTGCCTGAGCAAGAGTGAGACCCTGGGTCTACAAAAAATAGAAAAAAATTAGCAGGCGTGGTGGTCTGTGCTTGTAGTCCCAACTACTCAGGAGGCTGAGGCCAGAGGATCACTTGAACCCAGGAATTTGAGGCTGCAGTAAGCTGTGATGACACCACTGCATTCTGGCGGGGGTGACAAAGCGAGACTCAAGTCTCAAAAAAAAAAAAACAAAACTCATATTGATGTCTTATGTGAACGTGAAAACTGCTGGCATGGATCAGGGACTCCGTTCCCCCATGCTTTCTGTTAGGAAGGGGAGGCACAGAAAAGGCTTAGGGTTCATATAATGAAAGCCAGAGATGCTGCCAGATTGCAAAGTAACCGGGATTACAGAGAAACATCACTTTAATCTGACCTCCTCATAACCTCTTCTAACTGGACACAACTCAGAAGCTTGTCTTCAAGGCTGTTCTCTGTAAAGTGCCAGAATACTTCCTTTTCCATCTTGCTAAGCTGCCTTTCTCTACGTCCTCTGAGCCCCAACTGCAATGTGCTGCCCTGGCATATCCTCTGACTTGATTTTGTGCACCTATTTTTTAGGCAACTTGAGATCCCACAGCTTCAGGTATCATCAGCAGTCGCTTCAAGTGCAATAACACATTACTATTTATCCTTTGATGAGAATGACAAGAATGATTGTTATTTATGGAGTGCTACTGTTAATCATTCATTTCCATATGCTATTCATTTAATTTTCTACTAACTCATTTGAGATGTTGGAGGTATTGCTACCCACATTTTATAAATCAGGAAACAGGCTTAGAGAGGGTAGGGAGCTTGCCCAAGATTATAAAACCAGCAGGTTCAACAAGTGGGATTTAAATTAGGGTTCATTCGATTTGTCAGAACATACTAAATGGAAGTGTATATTTGTTTTAAATTAATAAGAAATATTATTTTTACTGCTACTTTTAAGTGTATATACTTGTTATAAAAGATTCAACTATTAACACACAAAATGTGAGAATTTTCCATCCATCCCCACCCCAGTGCATGTCTCCTCACTCTGGTCAATATTGGGGACTGCCAG